GTTGCAATAGGGAGTGGAGATAAGCAAATGTATTTATTCAGATAAACTATATCCACAACCTTTCTCAATCTACAAACTTATTTACTTTGGTGTTGTAAATAGCTGTAAAAAAGGCCTGATTTTATGCTTTCGTCTTGCCATTCCAAGCAGAGACTGAAGGATGGACTTTTTGAACTTTAAAAAAAAAATCTCAAATCATTGACAATTCTATTTAATCTTTTCATGAGAGACTTCCATGTGACTACTACAGTTTGTCTTCACGCACATTAGCGCCCAAGGTAGCTTGTAAATTGCTTGTGTTCCATTCACTCTGATCATCTTTATCTCAGTCTCTTTCTACTTCTCAGTAAGAGGTGCTCCTTTTCCTCTCTCCATTACTTCACTGCTGTAGTGGCTCCTCATCTCATACTGGCTTCCACTATAACTGATGTCACAAAAGCTTGCATCAAGTTTACCTACTGTAGGAAGTTGTTTTGCACATCATGTTTACTGGTTCAACGGTTGACTCGCCAAGACAGGTAATAGCTTTTCACCCAGAGAAAAGTCTTCAGTGCATATGAGACCTTTTATGAGCTGGCGAATGGTTATGGTGGACGAGTTAGTGACAATACAATATCTATGGAGGAGGAATTTGTACCATCATAATTGTCTTTGGTAGTTAGGACTAAATATGTCAGAATAGTCTTCCCTCCACTCTCACATTGTTCTTCTAAAAGAAGATTGGGGACTCCAGTAAAATAGCAGAGTCATGCAGTGCTGCTGATTATCATTTAGTTGTGTGTTCCATAATAACAAAATGAATATTATTATTATTTTAGATATGGGAAAACCAAAGCTCAGAGTTTATGTAACAGGCCAAAACACATAGCAAATAAGTGAAAGAGGTAGAATTTCAGGCAGGTTAGTCTGACACTAAAGCTAGGGTGCATTCTACTGGACTTCTGCCTCTATATTTTTCTAATAAACATTTGTAGAGTTTTAAAAGTAGTTTAGTCTCTGAGCAAACCCTGTTTGTGTCCTCTAAGCATACGCAGATGCAGAAGTATAAAAGAATACCTCAGCCAACTACTAAAATTCATATAAACGAAATGGCTAAATATTAGGTAAACTATTTCATTCAAAATGTTAAAACTTGCAGGTTTATACTTTTCCTTAAACAGTGCTGCCTTAGTAACAGCCTGAGTAAATTTGAGGCTCTCATTATATAATGAAGCGACAATTATTTGTTGAGTATGTATGTGGTCAAGCCTGAGCTGGAAGACTATGAAGAAAATATAAAATAGTGTTTCTGTTCTTCCCTTGACACATAGGCGTGTCACGTGGAGTCTGAATTTGGATCAAAAGCACAGGCTTTCCATTTGATATATGAGTCCAAATACTCTTCCTGACTAGTTGGTGAGACAAAGTCATACATGAAAAATGCTAGCAATACGATGCAACACATTTAAGTATTTAATCATCTGTCAGAACCAGCAAATACTATGAGAATTCAGAACAGTAAGTCAAAGGGGAGTGGAGCAGAAACCACAAATATTTATTGAGTTCCTACACCATGAAGCCTATGTTTTAGGTGGTATGGGAACACATTATTGAATGAGAAATTCCTATTTACTTGGTTTGGCCTTGAATAATGCATTGGATTTCTACAGTGGGAGAAAAAAATACATCCCATGCATGGAGAATGTGGACCACAACAGAGTCACAGAACTGATCTTTGTGTGACTTGGAAGGGTGAGTGGAATGGCCTGATTAGATTTGGATTTCTACAGTGGGAGAAAAAAATACATCCCATGCATGGAGAATGTGGACCACAACACAGTCACAGAACTGATCTTTGTGTGACTTGGAAGGGTGAGTGGAATGGCCTGATTAGATTTGGTGTTCATGTTAAGGAAGAACAGAGAATAAGGTTGGATTGTAGGACAGGGCAAGAGTCCACAAAAGTGAGAGAATTCTTAGTTCCCAGAAGAAAGAAAAACAGCACATTCCATCACAGAAGTCTTTTGACATAAGACATGATTTTGAGGCATTTTTATGATATTACATAGGGAAACATTTACATAGCTCCTTCATAACTGCATGATAGAGTTTGGATGTGTCATTGCCCCCAAAGCTCATGTGCAAATCTGATCTGCAACGTGGCAGTGTTGGGAGCCGTTTGAGTCATGGGGGCAGATCCCTCATGAATGGATTAATGCTCTCCCTGGGGGGTGGGGGTAGTGAGTGAGTTCTCCCTTTATTAGTTCCTGCCAGAGCTGGTTGTTTAAAGGACCCTGGAACCTTCTCTCTGTCTCCCTCTTCCCCCTCTCTCTTTTCCTCTTGCCATGTGATCTGCTTGTACCCACTGGCTGCCTGTCACTTTCTGCTATGAGTAGAAGCAGCCTGAGGCCTGCCCCAGAATCGTAAGCCAAATAAGCCTCTTTTCTTTATAAATTACACAGTTTCAGGTATTTTGTTATAAGCAACACAGAAACTAATACAACTGTATTATACCTTATTTGTGTTTGTTGGTGTATTTATTTGTTATTTACTCCCTAAATATTCCTCGGACTTGAGGAAGAAAAGAGAAATTGGGATGGTTTTCGTTTTATTTAAATTATAAGAATAAAGGTAGCAGATGATTTCTCCACAGCCCTGGCAACTATAGGAAAAGTGCCACCACCCCGCCATGTCCCCCTTTCCAGAACAGAAGAAGGTTGGCTGGTTACTTTACAGGACTTCAGGTGATTTTCATTTTACAGAATCTTTATTACTCCACTGTGGTAAGATGTAATTTTGAAATTTTACTGTTTCCCCTGTCTTCCCTGATTTACCTAAGTAGGAGAGAGATTTTTCAGGGCAGATTTCCTGCAGGTGAAGGGTGGTGGCTCATTCGCCTGAGACAGCAGAGTAGTATTCGAAGAATCAGATATACTACGTTGGTTGTTTGATATTCTACTTTGGTTTTGGTAAATAACTTTACATCAACTTCACAAGTTCCACCTCTCAGGGGACAAAGATGCTGGAAAAAGATATCAGGTCCCGTGCAGTCACTGTAGGCTGTCCCGGATCCCGCAGCCTGGGCCGAGCAAACGGATCCATGGTCTTAGATTTTGGTTTCGTGATCACTGAGCTGACGGGGCTGGCAGGCGGCCGGGTTTCCTCTTTGTCCTTGCACACTTCATGTCTGACGAGATGTTTAAGCAGACAGAACAGGCAACCGCTAGGAGGTACCCGAGCTATGCTCGGCCGCCGGGGCGAGCAGAAATGGCAAACAGTGGCTCCCTCGGCTGGAGGGTCCAGGCGGGTGGCGCTCTTCCAAGGTCGGCGTTGTGATGGAGCGACAAGGACGTCTAAGGACGAACGGCTCTTCAAATCTAAAAGGCGGAGAAGACGAACGCACCCCCAAAGCACTGTCGCGTGCCTAGGTCCGCGTGCCTGGGCAGCCGCTGCCTGCACATCTGGAGGCAGCAGTGCCTTTCCCTGCAGGGCGGGGGCGAGGCGGAGGACCCCGGTGTGCACGCACCCCTNGGGGGCCCAGGAAGGAATAAATCTCTGCCGGCCTCCTCGCGCCCGCTGTGCGTTAATAACCAACCAGTTAGAGAAAGACCAGGGTGACTGGGCGGGGTGACAGCCGGGGCACGCCGGCCGCGTGTCGGAGGCTCGGGATCTCGGCCAGTGTCTGCCACGCTCAGGGATTTCTACGTACTGGGTGGGGGCAGGCTGCTATTTCTTATTGTCTGCCTCTGTCCCCGCGAACAAGGGCCGGAGAGAGGGGCGCGCGCTCCAGCCGAGCGTCGCGGATAGGAGCGGGTCGGAGGAGGCAGTTTTGCGGCGGGGGTGCGGGGAGACCTTGATTTCCACCAATCCGCGGCGTCTGTGTGCCCAGTCCGGGCGAGGCGGAAGGCTGCGGCGCGCCGCTGAATGCACTGATGAGATCCCGGGAGGGGCGCGGAGCGGGGGTCCCGGCGGGCGAGGCGGAAAAGCCCGGCGCGGGGTA